GTTACAGAGACTTCTTAGAAGCTGTACTAAAGAAAAGTCAATGTAAGACAACTTCCATGAAGATTGCTAGCATGTATCTTCAGCTCACTGATTTAGAATCTGCCCTGATTCAGGGCAAGGGTTTTTAGGCTCTTAAAACTCTGCAAGCTCTTCTTAAAGCTCTTAAAGCTTTCCAGCTCCCCAAGCAAGATGCCTAACCTGTATTTAAAACCTCTTAGTAGAAGCCAGGAACCAGTTTCTTAAGGTGTGGTTTTGCTTCCATTCTGTTCTCAGGAGCAGGACAATTATGCTCCCCCAACAACCCAGCCTGCTTATTCCCCTGCCTCACCATCCCCTAAACTCTGCAGGAAAAGCACAATACTGCATATCTATAGATGGGGGGGAAACCAATCCTCTGCTTCTATATAAACAACTGGAGTCTGTTATCATACTTTTACACCTGTTGTGCCTATAATCCAATGCAGCTGCTAAGAGCTGGGGAGGGTGGGAGGGAGAGGAGCATCATTTTTAGAGCCATCTAATTAAAAATCCAACCCTCAGCTGGACCTCCTGGAACAGCACAGCCACGTTTAAAACACTAAGCCTATTATACCCTGTCAGCCACCATGTGGGAGCAGGAGATTTTTTCCCAGACAAACCTCAGTACCTGCCTAAAGAAATACTCATAACCTTCCTCAAGATAAGATTTTTCTTCTTCCACGCCTCCTGAAAATTCTGCTTCTGGAGCAGAATACAGGCAGACAATTCCTGGTGACAAAAACACAGATGGGAATGGAGAACAGTCCCAGGCTAGCCCAACACATCCCTGAGCACTGCCACACTCCAAAACAGAGTAAAGAGGAAGGAAGTACAATTTACTCACAATTTCCTGGTGGAATGGCAAGCTAAAGCCATGTGACTATGTTACACTGAGTTAGCATGTTGCTATAGTTTTGAGAAAGACACAGCTGATGAAAATCAACTAAAGTAACAAGTAGGTGCCACCCAGCCCTAACACAGCAGCTTGTCCAGCCCAGTGTCCAGGAGCATCCTTGGTGTTTCAAAGGAAGAAAAATCCCAGCTATGCACTTCCTCATAAGCAGTGCTGCTCCGGTAAGGAGCACAGCCAGTGAGGGATTGATTCCTTCAGCTCAGTAAACCCTGTTTAAACCCTGCCTTTCAAAACAAAGCAGTGTCAGTAAAAGTTGAATGCTGGGGTAAAACACTGTTCCAAGCGATGCAGAACGAAAAAACAACCACCAAAAACCAGCCGCCTGAGGTTTCAGCGGGCTCTGCACGCACCCATCCTTTAGAGATCGTTTCTCCTCCATCCCTGGTGTAGGGGACAAGAGCCACAGCGGCATTTCCTCACCTATGTGCCCCGGTGACACCTGCCAAGGAGCTCGAACCCAAAAAAACCACATTTCCCTGGGCGTGGGGCACGCCAGCCCCTCCGGGAGCTCGGGGAGCTGGAGCCTACCTGGCGATCGGTACGCTCTTATAGGGGGTCGCGTCAGGGAGTCCGGGGTCCCGAAGGGATGCTCGTCCCCTGAAACGAGAAACGGGTGAGGGGCACAGGCGGCACCTCAGCTCCAGCCCACCAGCCTGACAGCCTACCGGGAGCACCGGGCTCACCGGGAGCCCTGGGCTCGCCGGGAACCCGCGCTCCCGCCCCGGCAGCCCCGCACGGCGCCCGCCCGCCCCGCCGCGCCCTCAACCACATGATCCACCGCGCGCCGCTGCGCCCGCCCGCGCCGCTTACCGTGCAGCGCGCCGGGCTGGGCCGCGCTGTCCACCTCGTCCCCGGGCTCGTCCGGCCGCGCCGCCGACAGCCGCGGGCTCTTCCGCCGCCGCTTCAACCCGGGGCCGTCCGGCGGGGCCGCCTCATCGTCGCCGCTGCCCACCATGCCGCCCGCTGCCGCGCCGCGCCGCCTTCCCCGACCTCGTCCTCTGCCCCGTCCTCTTCCCCGTCCGCCCACCGCCGCCTGCCCGGGCCTGCAGCTGCCGCCTTCCCGCGGCGGCGGGGGCGGCTCCGCGGGCCTCACTTCCCGCGGGGCGGGACCCGCGCCCGCCGCTTCCGCCCGCGCGCGGAGCGGCCGCCGCGGCGTCACGTGGTATGGCGGCCGCTCCGCCATGGCCCCGGCGCGGCCGCACCGGCCCCGGTGCCGCGGCTCGGGATCGGCCCGGCCCGGCCCGGCCCGGCCCGGCCCGGCGGGAGCGGCCCGCCGAACGCCCGCCCCGCCGCTGCTGCCCCCCAGTGAAAAAAATGCGCGACCGGCGGGGGCGGCCCCCGAGGTCGGCCCCGGCCCGGCGCCGCCGCTCCGCGCCGGGGTATTTGCCACGTGCGAGCCGGTCGTAGCGCAACGAGGCCAGAAAAGCCTGTGAAATAAGCACAAATAGCTGAAAGCAGAGAGGGGAAACAACGAGGTATTTCCAGGGATGTGAGGTCCTCTGGCACTGATAACGCTTCACTACTTTGTTCCTTAGTGTGGGAATCTTTTGGTTAATTCGATCTGGAATATCTCACTAGGCATTTCACTTTTCTTAGCTGTTTGTTCAGATGCATTACTGGTAAATAGGGATTTTTAAATGCATTTGATTGTATTCTTGATAAAGCATTTTTGCCCAGGCATGTGGTAGAATTCCTATGGCTGGAGATTTTGGAGATGCAATTTGACAGGACTACAGGGTCTCTAGACTCCCTCCCTAGCAGCTCAAGACCAGCTTGGAAATGAGTTGCTAAGCAAATAGAGACCCTTTTACAAATTCACAGAATTATTCTGATTGGAGGGGATGTCTGAACATCATCCAGTCCTGCCAAGGCAGGGTCACCTGGAGCAGGTGACAGGAACATGTCCAGGTGGGTTTGGAATATCTCCAGAGAGGGAGACCCCACGCCCTCCCTGGGCAGCCTTTTCCAGTGCTCTGCCACCCTCAATGTAAAGAAATTCTTCCTCACGTTGAGGTGGAACTTCTTGTGTTTTAGTTTATGGCCACTGCTCCTTGTCCTGTCACTGAGGAGAGTCTGGCACTCCCATACAATCCAGCTGGAAGGCTGGGTGAGGGAAGCTCATTCAGCCTCCACTCCTGTGCCTGTCTTCTCTGTACAAAGATTTCAAAATAGAAAATACCCTAAGTTCTTTACTAACACATCATAAATGTTGCAGTTTCACCCAAAAGCTACTGCGTATTTGTGAGATAATTTGTGAGATACTTCCTACTGTACCAGCAGTAAATATTGTCATTCTTTTCAGTCCTAAAAGCAAAACACACACATTGAGCATTGTGTTCTAAAGCAAAAATTAAAGAGGATGTAACAAATACCACATCAGGAAAAGAAAATCACCATAACAATGGCAACATCCTTTTTTGTAACTGTTTTGTGATGACTTCATGCCCTAGGCCAGACAGTTAATTTTCCTGCCAAATGACTTTTTGGGAACCAGGTTCTCAACCTGGAGAGGCTGAAATGACCCCCTGATTTTGTCACACACTTGCCACCAGTTCCGTGACACTTGTGCTTCCACAGAAATGGTGGCCCCTCAGCCCCAAACACTCTGTTGAAGGGACTGGATGGTTTTAGAGACACAGGGATAGAAAAGACTTGGATTTTCGTGAAGCCCTTGCCACCTGCAGCTCCTCTCTGCTGTTCCTTGGCTGTTCCTTACTGAGGGAGATCAAGTCATGGTGTGAGGCTGATGGCAGCTAGGAGCAGGGCCCTCAAGGTGACCTTGGCCCCTGTGAATCAGCCATGCCGAGTTTTTCCTTCCTGCTTTTCCATTCTCCTGGTTTTACAGCCTCTGCTGTGTCTGGTGAGAGGTTGATCGTGACAAGGGAATGTGCTGAGTCTGCCACGGCCACTGTCCCCTCCCAGGCTCTTTGGGTGACAGAGGAAGCCACTGTCAGAAATGAGGTGTAGTTATGTAGTGGCCAGCACACCTCGCCTTCTCATCACCTTCCTGACATGAGCAGTGTCAGTACTGATGCCTGTGCACATGCTGACACCCCCGGGTAACATGGCACACACATTTTATTGAGCCCTCTGACACTGCCTCTGTGCTCCCTGGGCCAGTAAGTGTTCCTCCATACAGCATAAAAAAGTACTTTTTTCTTCCCTTTTGAACCCAACCTCTTACCTGTTTTAAAAGTGCCTCCAGCAATGTAGGGGGGCTTTATTTAGTAAAATTGAAACAAACCAAACATATTAGACCCATCACCCCTTTCAGCCCTCTGCTCCCCAGACTGAGGAGTCCCAGCCACTCAGTGCCTTTCCAGCACTGCTTCAGCTGCCTTTCCCTGTGCTTTGTCTCAGCCTGGGTTCCTCTGGGCATGCTGGTGAAAAAGCAGGAAGCTGAGTTCCAGGGGCATTGCTGTCTCTGTTCTGCTGCTCCTTGTGCTGTTGCTTTTCCCCTGGAGTGCTCCATCTGCTCCTTTCCATGAAAGGTGTCCTAGGCAGGGGCAATAGGTTGGAACACACCCATGCCTATACATGCCACTGTGCAGGTAGCACGTTAGAAGATATTTTTGGGAAAAAGCACTGCCTAAATGAGGCCAAGGGCTGACACACTCTCAGATCTTTCCCTGCTTTGCATTCTCTCCCCACTTCAGGGAACACGGGGTGGGCTCTGCATTCCTTTCCGCAGCCTGATGCTGGAGACCCTCCATTTCCTGTCGTCCCCATTCTCCCTGCACTGGCAACGTGATATTTCCAGAGTCTGCGCTTTGCTGCCGAAGTGTTTGGGTTAACTTTTCTTGTAGCAATTTTCCCAAATCATCTCCCAAAGCAGTTCCCTCCTTTCACTATCGTTTCCTCGCTTCAATCCGCAACACCGATACTGAATGCAGGAACCCACCAGTCATGCAGAGCGCCTGGAAAAAAGCGCACAAACACAGAGTCGCGGAAACACGGCCAAGAAAAAAAAAAGGAAGTTATTGTTTCCGGAAGGCTCCCGGGAATGATTGCGGGAAGGAAAACTACAGCTCCCAGCAGGCAGCCAGGGAAGGGCAGAGTTCACCGTCACGTTTCCAGCGGAGGATTCGGGGTGTGCGCTGGTGTCCTGCCACCGAAGGGCCTCTGGGACGGAGGGCAAGGGGAAAGGCCAGCGCTGGCCTCCTCTTGCCACCTCTTTGCTTCTGATCGCCGCCCTGACCGGCTCCGAACCTGCCTGCCTGGGTAAGCGTCCGGCTCCACTTTGTTCTGCCGACTTCCTTCTCCTGCTGGAGCGTCAGCGTCGGGAGCAGGGAGGGGAGGGACGAGCGCGGGGCGGCGGGGCAGCCCCAGACCGTGTCTTGGAGACCCCTGTGCCGCAAAGCTGCTGCTTTCGGAGGCTGGGCTGCAGACACGTACAGGAAAAAACCGCACGGACCGCTCTCCCGCGGGGAAAGTTTCCTGGGAGTTTTCCATCCGCCTCAGTGAGCCCAGCTCGGTCTGTGCCCCGAGTGCTTTGGCCGGGGGGTGGTGGCTGGAGGGTGCGGGGCCAGGCTGCGGCTCCGGGCTCGCAGCCCGCGGCCCGGCGCTGCTGAGCCCGCGGGGCGCTCCTGCCGGCTCCGACACGCTGCAGGCAGGCGGGGGGAGCACAGCAGGAGCAGGGCACCATTGCTCCGTGTCGGCCTGGCTGCAAGCTACCGTGTGCCCAAAGGCAGCCCGCCCAGCCCCAGACTCCGGCCTGGCGTCCGGGAGCAAAGCTGGGGGATGAGACAGCGCTGCCTCACCCCGCTGGCACGTCCCAAGATAATGCGCTTTGCCGCTTTGCCTTTGCGCGCACGGGAAGCAAAGCAGCTGACAGCCCACGGGCTGAAGGGTCGTGGTTAGGGGCGACACCCGCCCGTTTTCACCTTGGGAATCACGGAGGAGGAGCCTCCTCCGCCCTGAATCGCGGCTCCCGTGTTTCTGCTTCTCAGGTTGGTGGGCGTGTAGTTGGGATTGGCCGGACCGGGACGGGATGGTGGCTGCGACGGGGGCAGGACTTGGTCAGCCTCTGGAGCAGCGGGGAGATACAGCTCCGTGTGAACGTCGGAGAAAGTGAAACCAAACAGTGAGGAAGCCAGAGCTCCAGGGGAAACGAAAATGGAAGAGAATCCAGGTGCGGATCTGCTTGGAGGTAAGTGAATCCTTTGCTTACTCCATCTGCTAGGAAAATCCCTTTGCTGCCAGTTTTCAGCAGTGACTTGAGAAACCTGGGCAGAATTAAAAAAAAATCGGTAAAAGAATCCCATCTTTTCCAGGCCAGGGAAAGCAAGTTGCCATCATTTTTTAAAGTTACTTTTAGTTTTCATTTCTGATCTGCAACAGGTTTAGATGCTGTGTCCCAAGATGGCAGCACAAGGAATGCTGAAGAGAGAGATCCAGACTGGAAGACCTTTCTTCCCTACATCCTGGTGCTTCCCATCTGCAGATGCTTAAATAATAAGCCATTTTTCCACCACCTGTGGTTGGAAAAACTCTAGAAGAGGCAGGGCAGGGAATAGTTTGTGCCCAGCTTGAACAGCAGGATATCTCCAAGTTCCTCATGTTTCAGTTTCTACCCTGTACTTACATTCTGTAGGAGCCTTGTTATGACTAGTACCTATGAATATGTCAGTGATAAAGTGATGCCATCACCACCTCAGGTCTGTCCTAGACAGTCAGAAGTGTCACTGTAATAATCAGCAACAAAGAATGTAAAAATCACGTTCTGACAAATGATAAGTGCAGCCTTGTTTCTGTTTTCAAATTAGAAGGGAGTTCCTCACCCTTTTTATCAGTGTTTATTCTAATTATAGCGTAATCATTTATGTAGTGCTTGATCATTCATAAGCAATTTTTCACAAATAGTGCCTGAAATTTGAGCTGCACTTCGGTTCTGTGAGAGTCAGAATATGTCACAAACGCTGTTCAGTTGCAGAATCTCTCTATTGAATTATACTCCAGTGTTTGTTTCTAATTAAATGTTGCATAGCTCTTTGGGAGAGCAGCTCCAGCACAGAAACAGAGAGCATGAGCAGAGCTATCACATTCAGACAGATGCTTGAGGTGCATTGGCATAGCTGTACTTAACAACAGCCTTAGGAATTCTTCAAATCCATCACTATCTCTGAAATCCCACTATCTGTGGAAGATGTGGTAACATATTTTGCTACTGAAGGAAGGAATTGCCTGCCCATCCCACCTAGGACATAAGCTGGGATTGAGTTAGCTTTAGCATGGCAGCTGTAAGATCTGTGGTTTAGAGAAAAAAAATGTTGAAAACAGTGCAGGGTTATGGCTGTTGCTGACCAGCGCTGGCACAGAATCAAGGCTTTCTGCCCTTGCCCAGCAAATACCCTGGGGTGGGAAGAAGATTGGGCAGGGACCCAAGGTGGGAAAAGGGTTGTTGAATACAATATAAAATCATGCTCAGCAACAAAAACTGGGGCAAGGGAAGAAAGGGAGAAGGAGGTGGCTTCCAAGGTAGCCATTGCTGGATGACTGGCATGGCATCAGTCTGCTTGTAGCAGGTGGCGAGTGATTGCTTTGCATCCTGATTCCCTCCTTCCCTTCACTCAGCTGTCTGGATCTCAACCCAAGAGTTTTCTCACCTTGGTCACTCCGCTCTCTCCCATCTCACTGGGGGTAAATGCTTCTGCAGTGCCAGAACTGGGAGTTGAGTAGGTGGTGGTAAAGCACTTGGTATTTTTGTGTGGCTCACTGGGCTTATTCCAACAGCTGGACCAGCCCAGGGTGAGGTGGGGAGCACAGCAGAGTGTCCTGGGCACCAAGAGGCCACCCAGGAAACGCCTGGGCACCAAGAGGCCACCCAGGAAACACCTGTGCACCAAGAGGCCATGCAAGAAGCACTTGGGCACCAAGTGACAGGCAAGTGCCTGGAGACATCCTGCAAACCAGAGGAGAGCTCTTCAGCGTGTGAATCAGCTGCTGATGGTGGAGAGACAACAATCCTGGGTTCAGCTGGTCCCACACCAGAGGAAAAAGCTGCCCAGGAAACTGAAGTATTGCCAGAAGAATCTGACAAGACAAGAGAAGGTGTCTCAGAAAGACCTCTGGAAAAAGAGGACTTGGATGAAGGTGAGTGTCTCTCCCCACCCTTGGGTCAGATAATTTGGGCCTTGGCTTAGAGGAGGCAGAGCAGGAGAAAGAGTTTTTGGTTCTTGGGCTAAGAGATGAAGTGTAGGTCTGTGAATTTTATTCCCTACAGCTGGGCTGGGCCATGAGAATGTGGAAAGCAAAGGAGACAGCCCTGTCGACCAGGAAACACGGGAGCACCAGGAGACAACTGGGCAGTGTGAAAGCCTCTGCAAAGCAGAGGAAGATGCTTCATCAACAAGCAAGGTGCAGAGCTCTGACAATGAAATGACACATTTGGATGTGACTGGTGTGGAAGATGTCCCCAGGAGCCACTTGGCAGAGAAGAGCAGCAGTGCTACTCTCCCAGACTGGGAGCCAGAGGCACTCAGAGAGCAAGAAGCACAGGAGAGCGAGTCCCAAGGCACATTAAGGAAAAGACCAAAAGGTGAGCTGGTGCACTGCTGCTTTTCCACTTCCTACATTTCCCACAGGCATTAGAGCAATAGTTGGGTGAGATGTCTCTTAGCCATTGTCACTTTTCCTGGAGTCAAGCAGCAAAGAAGGTATAAGAAATTAATTGGCTTCTCTCCTTCTCTCACCTTTGGCTCCTGTTGTGCTTTGAAAGGCATGAAGCCACACTGCACTCTGCATTGTCTTTCTCCTTGCCCAGCCCAAGACTCAGGGCAGTATTAACCCAAAGCAGTATTCCCTCAGCTGGGAGCTCCTGATTTGCTTACTACAGCTCCATTTACCTATTCCCTCGGCAGTGAGTGGCTCATTTCTTTTCTCCTGTTGCAGGGGACACAGCCCCAAACCCAGAGACTCTGTCTTCCCTGCAGAACATCACTACCCAAAACACAGAGCAGGAGAAGGCCAAAAAGTCCCTCCTGTGGAAAGGTGAGGAAAAGAAGCTTCCCTTGCATGTTACTCATCGACCAGAAGGCACTGATCCTCCAGGAGCAAGTAATGAAGCACATTTAATTACTCTTCTCTCTCGAGACCTTTCACAGCCTCTTCTGAGGGTTTGAGAGAAAAAACATCCCCTTAAATACAGGCTCAGTTTGAGCCTATAGTGGCAGCTTTCCCTCCAGCTCTTCAGCCTCAAAAGCTGGCATATTGTGGTCATCATGCTGTGAGTGCCCTGGGATGTCCTGGGAGGTCTGGGGGGCTGCTGTGCTGAGGGTCCCACTCCCCAGCTCTGCTCTGTCATGGGGCTCTAAGCAGGAACAGTGATGCTGATCTGCATCAACACATTTCTCCTGTTAGAAGGAGACTCTGCTTTGCCATGGAGAGGGAACAAGCCATCGTGTCTGGACCTTGCTGCCTTCTGTTTTCTGAACAGAAGACTGATGGCCTTTGTTCACTCATAGCATGGAGGAGGGCAGTGAAAGCAGGATTTTACCTGGGTCAGACACTTCCATATGTGGTGCTCTGAACAGTCATAAACCCTAAAAAAATCAGAGGAGGGGGAAAGAGAAGAAAGCTTGTGGGCAGCTGCAGTTTTCTCAGGAGGGTTTGCACAATGCTGTAACCTTGCCCTCATCCCTGGAGCTGCAGCCCCCTCACCTGGCACATTGGAGTGAGACTCTCACAACAGAGCCAGCAGCCCCTTCACCTTTCCAGGCCAACTTGCTCCACTTTCCTAGTGCAGGGGGGAAGCTCTGAGAGGGGAGAAACAGCCATTGTAGGTACTTTCCAGCATGTCACTGCAGGTCACTTGGGACTGACTCCTGTTCCCTGTCTCGTCTCCCCTGCTGTACAGGGCTTTTCATCGTGGGCCTCATAGTGCTGGGCTTGTGCATCTTCTGCTTCGGCAGCCCGAGCTCCAGCTCGCAGCAGCCCCGCAAGAACCCCACGGTGGAGGCATTCCTGTCCCAGTTCGAGCAGCTGCAGCACAGGTTCCCGGGCCAGAGCCCCGACCTGTGGCTCCGCGGGCGCAAGTTCCTGCGGAAGCACCTGAACGCGTCCCAGCCCACGCAGCCGGCCATCATCATCCTCACGGCCGCCCGCCGCGGCGAGCGGACCCTGCGCTGCCTCAGCGCCCGCCTGGCCGACTCCTACTCGGCCGCCCTGCACGGCGGCACGATGCAGATCGAGGGCAGGGACAAGGCCAGGCTCCACAGCGACCAGGCCAAGCTGGAGGTGGACTCGGAGCTGAGCTCGGCCTTCCAGGCCGGGGGCCGAGCCGCGGTGGTTCACCGCTTCGAGCTGCTGCCCGCGGGGGCCACCCTCATCTTCTACAAGTACTGCGACCACGAGAGCGCCGCCTTCAAGGACGTGGCCCTGCTGCTGACGGTGCTGCTGGAGGAGGACGTGCTGGAGAGGCACATCAGCCTCCAGCAGGTGGAGGAGAAGGTCCATGACTTCCTCTGGGCCAAGTTTACCAGCACCAGCACCCCCAGCTCCTACGACCGCATGGACTCTGACAAGCTGAGCGGGCTGTGGAGCCGCATCTCCCACCTGGTCCTACCCATCCACCCGGTGCAGACCATCGAGGAGGGCGGCTGCAATGCCAAACCCTAGGGACAAAAATGGCCAGAGCCCTGAGGAGGGTTGGAAAGATGGTCCTGGCTGGCTCTGGTACAGGCAGAGGCACAACTGGTGTTACTTCTCTTCAATTTGACTCTTGTAGGTTCCTGGGAAGAGTTTGACAGGTGCATGTTGATCTAGGACATTTTGGAAGCTGAGTCCTGGAAGTGATACACGTTTCCTTCTGGCAGATGGGCACAGGGGGTGTTTTAGAGTTCCACAGGAGAACATCAATGTGTGGGGAGGCAGGAGGGAAAACGGGACCTGGCAGGTAGCATTTCTATCAAGGAATAGACTAATAATGTTCACAACTAGTACGGCAGAAGGATGCTGGGATTCAACAGCTCTTTCATCTCTCCCTGCCCCTCAGCTTGCTAAAGTTGTGTTCATCAGTCTCACAATATACTTTATCCAGGGAGCTGCTGGAACACAGAAAGGTCAAATTATTCAAAGCCCACCATTTTGAAGGCATGCTTGAAAAAGAAAAGCAGTTTGCCAGTCAAGGGTGTGACCTGTCAGCCCCAGTAGTGTCCCACTTGCACAGCCTGATTGACACCAGGAAAAGCCCAGATCCTCAAACAAACTTGCAATTCATAGCCCTCCTGAACATCAAGTACCAGAAATGTCATGTTGTCAGCACTTGAACACTACCCTAATGGCAAGGATCCCATGAGGGGATCCCAAGTGCCAGAGAACAAGCTCCAGAGCCAGAGCAATGAAACAGTTGTTGTCACTGTAATAGTGTGAAGCATCAAGGGATTACACAGGTTAAAAAATGAATAATACAATGTAATTTAATGCTTCCTCTCTCTAAAACAAGTCCACTCGGTCCCTTTGCCACACAAAGCCTGTGACTCTCCCCTCTGGCTGATGCTTTGGTCTCACACAACAGATTGTTCTTCACCTGGATCTCTGGTCTGTGTGCAGGGCTGGCAGCCTGTCTGTCAGCCTCTCTCCAGGTGACTTCTATTGATGAATGTAGATGTTAACACTGATATTTCAAACCATGTAGGGTAGCACACCAGGTCCTTCCCCTCCAAGGATACATTTGCCTCCCTTCCAGGCAGATGGAGCTCTGGCATCTGCCAAAGCAAGTAGAAGCAGAGCTGGGTTAGCTGGTAAAGACAAAATCTCAGCCATTAACACTAAAAATCCTTGACAAAGCAGGTTTAATTTCTTTCCGTGCCTTCTCTTCTGCATCCTAGGAAGAGAAATCCAACTTCTAGAAACACTGTGGTTTCCCCACACACTGTTTTTGCAGGTGCTGTGGGGCAGAGCAGCCAACTCAGGAACACCTGGAGGGGCAGGTGCAGGTTACAGCATTTATTATAACCCAAGGGGCAGCCCCAGGGACCAGCCCCAGGTGCCTGTGCAGAAGGAGCAGCTGTAGCAGAGCCAGGCTCTGTGTCCAAGCAAGAACAAATCCACAGCACCACGGTGTTTTTAGCAGCTGCACATCAGGGTGTTCCTTACAGCAGCTGGACCCTGGTGTTGGATGGGTCTCCTGCCAACAGTGCCTTGCTGACCTGCCCCACCAAGGGCTCGGGGAGGGGCAGCCCTCCACCCTAAAAACCACAGCCTGTCTCTTCTTTCCCCCTGCCGTGTGCCTTGACATGTCCCAAGGGATTAGTGGCCCTTAACTTTGAGGAGGGGACAAAATGAAGGAAGAGGGAGGGTTATTTGTTCATGTTCTGGCCAAAGAACAGATTTTTGGTTGGTTGGGGATGTGAAGACAAGACCACAGGGGTTTTAACCGTGGTAAACCCTGGGCTAAGCGTGAGAACTACCTGCTGGAGCTCAGGGCATGGTTTGATAGAAGACACAGGTGGCTTCCTCCTCCCCCTCTTTTCTATTGCTGTACACTACTTTGGTGAGAGAAAACACTGTGTCCTGCTCTGCAGGATGTTGATGTAAGAACCAGCAGAGCATTAATCATGCTATGCCAGTATTTTGTTGGAAATCTGTATTTTAATATTCTCTCTCTCTGTTTTACATACTGTGTTTGCAAGGCATAGCCCAGGTATGCAAAGGCAACTCCCCATTGCTGAAGTGTCACCCACCTGAGTTCTTCCAATACAGAGATATTTTTGTAGCCTTTTAAAGACAAATATCTGCTTGCTGCTGCAACAGGACTTCTATTTAAAAATAAAAGGTGAGATTGTGAAAGAAGCCAGCAAAGTGAGACTGGAGTCTGACTGTATTCCATTCTTTTTTTTTCAGCTAATTTCATTAAGCCAAAGAGATCATCCTATTAGGCAAAGTTTTATTGAGGTCAGGGCTGTAGCTGTGCAAACAAAGTGATTATTTGCTTTTCCTGGAAAAACTCAAAACAACATTTTCCTCAGTTGTTTGGGGCAAATATTTGCAGCTTTTTCAACTGAGACAAAATTAAAAACAAACCCCCAATGAGCTGCTGGATTCAACCCAGGCTGAAGGACACTGGAGTTTGCATAATACTTAATGATAACAAATGAAACTGAAATCCACTGACAACTGAAATGTTTCAGAAATACGAAAAGCAAATATTTCTTATTTCAACAGATTGGTTCCACTTGATATTCCACCACCTCAGCACACTCAAACTTTTACTTTTGTGATGAATTATTTTGCCCAGCTCTAGCCTAAACAGAAAGAGGTCTGGAAAAGAAAAGATTTACCAGAGGATTTTCTTCAGTCCCCTGACAACAATAGCCATAACAATGGCACCTGCCTTCACATGGGCATCCATGTGATTGATTGCCAGAAGTAAACATCACCCATCTCCTGTTTGATGCCAGAGGAGGAGATTTGGTCTTACATCAAAGATTTACATGAAAATCCAGTGCCCCCAGGTACAGCAATGCTGTTTTTTGATGCAAAACTCACTGTTTTCTGATGCAAAAACCAGGCTGCTTTTTTAAGTCTTGCAAATTAATCCAAAAGTGAGTGCAAAGGGAGCAGCTGAATAACCTCAGAGGCAGAAAGGTGCACTGGTGAGGTTTTTTTGAGTCCCAATCTCTGCAGCAGCAGTTCCACAGGGAAGGATGTGTTGACACGAGGTACTCAGTCCTAAAAATCGCCTTGAAAATTACAGAAGAGCACAACTGAGGGGCAAAACCAGTCCTGGGAGGCCAGCCTGGACTGCTCCACCACAAAATCAGATTACCCTGTGAATATGCTGCTGTCCTGGGAGCAGATGTAGCTTTGTTAGCCTCAGCATTTAAAGCCAAGTGGCGCAGGCAGTGCTGCCCAGGTGTGGCACCTCAGCCTGTGCTGCTGCAGCAGCCCTGCCCCTGTGACAGGTACATCCCTGCCACATCCCTTCTCACCCTTTTGCACCAGCACTGGAGCTGGAAGAAGGCAGGACACAAAAGGAGTGACCCCACTTCAGCCACATTTCTCCTTTAACCCCTGTGAGCTCATCTGCAGCTTGACCCTCCTGCAGCTCCATGCACAGGGCTGCTCTCTCGGGGGCCACTTTCTGGCCTACAAAACCTCCATTGTAATTGAGATTTGCAGATATTGGGAGCTGGAAGCTGTTTCTATTTCCCACCTCAGACTCTGCAGGGGAAGCAGCTGTACAATGAATCACACAAAGGAGCTTGGCCTCAGCCTGTGGGATGTGGATTCGAGAGCCTGCGATGAAAAGGCTCAAATAATGCAGCTTAAAGGTGTGTTCCCCACAGAGCGAGGGGGCTAAGCCATGGCAGGCACCCCCTGGCCCCTCACTGCTGCAGCTGGACTGTGCAGTTCTGCTGAGGCTGAGGAGAGGCTCTGCAGATCCCTCCTGAGGGCACTCAAGAGCTGAGGATCCTCTCGGAGCCAATGCAGAGGCATCAGGACAGCACAGCACAAGGGATGGAAACAGCCTCCACACAGCTCACAGTCCTTTGAGGTCTGCTCCATGCCCTGCCCCAGCAGCCCAGGGACCTCTCAGACACCTCTGGGACACAAAAACCAGGACATGGCAATGTCCACAGGGGAGCAGACCTGGCCAGACAATGACAGCTTGGGCTGAAGGAAGCCCCTGATTTCTGTGTAAACAGAGTTGAGTCTTTAGGGCTGCTCAGAGCGGTAGAAACAAGGATCAGCCACAGTCCTGGGCAAAGCTTGTGTCTGCAGAGTGCCTGGACCACACAGGTTCCTTCTCACAGGGAGAGAAAAGCCCAATTGTTCCTGCTCTGGGGCAAGCACCAGGCTCCCTCCAGCAGGCTGGGCAGCAGCAGGAACACACACAGAGAAATAAAGAGGTGCCTGAAGACCTCTCCACACCAGGCCAGTCTCACATGCATTTTTCTTAACTCTCAACCTCTATAATGATGATCCCAAGACTTTCCCCATGAGAAGGCAGCTGCTACCTGTGACAGGTGAGTTAAGAGCAGAATGCACCCACAGGCACAGCTTCTCAATTCCAGAGGCCTGTGGTCCCCCTCCTGATTGTGTTTGGAAGATTTTTCAGGAAACTGTTGGCTGATGGAATCAAATTCAATGAAATAAGAGGTTAAAGTAACCCCAGGCAACTTCCAGAGGGCAGGGGATGAGTGTGAATCAGTCCCAATCAGGATTGGCATCCTATGATGGAAAACACTGGCTATGGAGAGACAGCTGGGATGAAACCATGGGCACTACCACAGGGGAGATCCTCAAACTCATGATTCCTTTAAACACTGCCTGGTGGCAGTACAGACCTGCTCTCTGTTAACAGGACACATGAAGCTGGGAAACAACAAGGGGAAAGCCCCTTGTGAGGGCAGAGCTGAATGCAAGGGCACAAAGGGCTGCTGCACATGCCAGGCTCAGTCTGCTCACACATAACTTATCCCACAGCAGAGCCAGCTGGCCCAACTGGAAAGTAGCAGCTTTACTTTATGGTCTGGATAAAGACAGTAAGGAAAAAAAAATAATTGAGAGTATTGGATTCGAAATTATTAAGAGGCTGGGAGTAAGTTGTGGTGGCTTTGTTAACAATAATTAAGATGTATTTAATCAGTTGAGTTACCAAACCTTCCCAGACACAGATTAATGTTGGGGGGGGGGGGTGTCTCAAGACTACAAGGGAACCTTTCTCTCCCATATTCTTGTTCCCACATTGACTGAGAGTATTCAAAACCTCCTCTGCACCTCGAGGAAACAACCACACTGCATGAATTCGGGATGTGAAATGACAAGAGCAGCATTTTAAACACCGTCCTTCTGCCTTCCACACTGCACTAGTATCACCCCAGTGAGCACAGGAGGCTCAGGAGTGATGAGAGGGGATGAAAGCAGGACTAGCAAAAAGGGTCAGGAGAGAGGGGCACGGAGGGGCCCTGGAGGGGAGAGCATCGGAGGCCACCTGGATTTGCCCCGTCCCGCTCCTGCAGAGCCTCACAGGCAGATCCCCCTCTCCAAATCATCCTGCTGCACAGCCTCCTCCTGCCTGCCAGGGTGTGGGTCTCAGATTCAGTCAAAGAAAGAAACTGAGAGTTTCTAGCCAGGCAAAAGCCTGGGAAAGAGCTGGGAAAGAATGTAAATAATTATTTATCTCTTGTTTTTCACATTGTTTATAGTTAAGTTCTATCACTGTGCGTCAAGCACTCTGCACCAATGGTGTAAGTTGTTTTTACTTTAGAACCAACAAATTTGATCCTTGCGAAGCTCTGTATAAAAAAAAGCGGTGTATTTTGAATAAATGGGAGTTTTACTCTCAGCAGCCTTCTGATCAGAGTCTTCTCATTCCCGTCCTGCCTCGACAGCGATACCAGGGCTCCTCTCGGACGCTGCTTTGGAGAGGGGCTGGAGAAGATCAGACGCTCTGAAGCTCGCCCAGCTGGAGCCAGCCAGCCCCCTTCTCTTCTCAGGCACAGCCTCTCCCCCACCTCCGTGCGCCTCCACGATTTTTCTTATCTGCAGGGCAGGAGCTGGCCCCGGAGGAGCATTACACGGGGCTGCAGCAGGGCAGGACGGGCAGGACTGAAGCTTTTCTCCCCTCCCTGCTTTTGTAGGCACGACGACCGCGTCCTTTGTCAGTGCTTCTCACCCTCGTTTTCTCCGGCTGGGTCAGGAGCAGATCGGCCCCTCCTCCCCTTGCCCGTCCCTGCCGGCGGAGAGCTTTGATCAGGAGCTGACATCCCGCTGCTGACATCCCTGGCCTTCCTCTGCCCTCCCTCCCTCCACCTTGAGGCCGAAACCCTCGGTGAGGCAGCGATGAGGACTCGGATCGCCTCCCGCACTAACTACAGCACATCTGGCAGGCAGGAGCCGCTGCTGCCCGCCCCGCCCGGGACACCTGATGCCATTTGTGCACAGCCTGTGGCCACGGATCACAGCAGGCAGCTCCCGGGAGGGCCGAGCTGTGCCAGCACGGCTACTGGCAGCATCTTGCCAAAAGCTGCCTTCGGAGCACCAGCACAGCAACCCAGAAAGGAGAGGGCAAGAGATCTGAGAGCCTCTTCCAGTGCCCAAAGGGGCTCCAAGAGAGCCGTTTCCTTAAGGGCATGGAGTGACGGGACGAGGGGGAATGTCGTGAAACTGCCAGAGGGCTGGGTTAGATGGGATATTGGGAAGAAATTCTTCCCTGTGAGGGTGAGGAGGCAATGGCACAGGTTGCCCAGGGAAACTGTGGCTGCCCCATCCCTGGAAGTGCCAAGGCCAGGCTGGACAGGGCTTGGAGCAACCCGGGATATTGGAAGGTGTCTCTGCCCGTGGCAGGGGGTGGAACAAGATGGTCTCTTAAGGTCCCTTCCAACCCAAACCATTCTAGGATTCTGTGATTCAACCACCATCCCAGCAAGAGCAGCTCCCCGCGTCCTGAGGGATGCTGTGCTCTGTCCCAGCACGGAGCACAGGCTGCTCCAGCGTGGGCAGAGGGATGCCCTGGCAAGCAGAGCTTGCCTACAGAGGGCAGGAAGGAGGAATCGGGCAGCAAAAGACTTTTGTGCGGGAGGAAACGAACGAAGCGCTCCGCTTGAGAGCGAGGGGCAGCGCGGGTGGCTCCGCAGGGACCTCTCGGTGCCGGGGCCGCCGCGGGGGCTCGGAAAGGATCAGCAGGGCGGTGCGAGGGGCAGGCGGGGCGCGGCGGGGCCCGAGGAGCCCCCATCCCATCCCATCCCATCCCATCCCATCCCATCCCATCCCATCCCATCCCATCCCATCCCATCCCATCCCATCCCATCCCAATCCCAGCCCCATCCCTCCCCCGCCGAGCGGCCGCGCCGCGGGTCG